TGCCATAACCTTTGAGCAGCCTAGCAGTCGGCATGCAGCTGATTGCAGGCTCTTCTCATTGATTTCAGAAAGTCAGTCCACAATTGTCGGAGTCGTGTTGCTTGCTTGAAGCTGCTGTCTTACTCTTCCTAGCAACCACTTGCTTTGTTCAAGCGCTATGGCGGATGGCGAGGATATCGCCGGACTGTTCGACAATCTAGAATCAGAGGAGCCATCGCCAGACAAGGTTCACAGACCGCGTCACAGCTTTGTCTTTGAAAGCTTTAGCCACGACTACGTGAAGGAGCAGGACAAGGTCATGGTAAACAACAACAACAACTTTGAGTACACTGTGGACCCCCAAGATGAATCCAAGCTCCTGAAAATGACGAAGGAGGAGCAAGAAGCTGACGAGCGGAGGGGCATGCCACTAGACTACCACCGTCAGCTCTCATGTTGTACTACTCGGCATTGGGTCGACCACTTTCATGCGCACTACCGCATAGTCAATGTGTCCAAGCAGAATTTGCTTTGGATGAAGACCGCAGCGGTTCGAGCCAAAGTGTGTGCGGGATTGTCTGCGACCTATGTAGACGATTTAGAGGAGTGCGCCAGGAAGGCGGACTGTGGAGGTGCGTTTGACTTGTGCAATCCGGAAAGCGCGGAGACAGGATATTTTGTACGCACAGACCGAGTGAGTCTCAAAGATGGCATGCATGGAGTTGGCCCATACTTTTCCTTGAAGCAGATCTTGGAATCAGCCGTCACTGCTCGAGGCGGGCATCAAGGAGTGAGCGACCAGACTCAGCAGCTCAAGTTTTATCTCTTTCCCTGGCTGCCGCATCTCGATGGCTTCCGCGAGTTCCGCGTGTTTGTATGCCACAAACGCGTCACGGCCATGTCTCAGCAGTCCCTGTACCGGGTGAATCCCATTCTTGAAGCTGTAGCGGATCTAGACCCGTGCCCTGATGCAGCTTCCTCCTTGCACCCAACCAAGAAGCTGGCGAATCACTACCAATCGAAGATCCTGTCCAATTGGTGCAACTTGCTAGTGCCCTACATTGAGGAGGTTGTAGTGCCTAGGATCAGGGGCGAGGAGGGCGACAGCCACTCAGTTATCCAAAGCTGCTTGTTCGTTGTTGTGTGTTGTGTGTGCGCGTGCGTGCGTGCGTGCGTGCCTGCGTGCCTGCGTGCCTGCGTGCATGCGTGCGTGCGTGCGTGGATGTGTGTGTGTGTGTGTGTGTGTGGGTGCGTGCGTGCGTGCGTGCGTGCGTGCGTGCGTGCGTGCGTGCGTGCGTGCGTGTGCTTGTGCGTGTGTGTGTGTGTGGGTGTGCGTGTGCGTGTGCGTGTGCGTGTGCGTGTGCGTGTGCGTGTGCGTGTGCGTGTGCGTGTGCGTGTGCGTGTGCGTGTGCGTGCGTGTGTGGTTGTTGGCTTGATTGTGTGCTTAATGTTCCATGAGTTGTGTTTTTGTTTGGGGTTGTAGGTTTATGTGCTTGAAGTTGTGTAGTTCTCGAACATAGGTTGTTGTGTTCTTCAATATTGACTTATTGGAGTGTATATATGAATACGTGTTTTGTTAGTTGCCTGGGTGCATGTGTTACTTGTTGTTGGTGTTCTTTTAATTGTCGCGTGAGTGCCTGAGTTTTGCTATATATGTATGCACAGTGTGGTGTATTTGTCGTTTTGATTGTTGTGGTTTGTGTGTGTGTGCGCGGCATGTTCCACGTTTCCAAATGGTGTTGCTGTGCTTGTTGTTTGTTGCTTTGTTTTGTTGATGTTTTGTTGTTTGTTTTGTGTTTGTTGTTTTGTTTGTTTTGTTTGTTTTTTGTGTGCGGGCTTGTTTGCTTGCTTGCTTGTTTGTTTGTTGGTTTGTTTGTTTGTTTGTCTGTTTGTTTGTTTGTCTGTTTGTTTGTTTGTTGTTTGTTTGTTTGTGTTTGTTTGTGTTTGTTTGTTTGCGTGCTTGCGTTCTTGCGTGTTAGTGTGCTTGTTTGGTTGCTCGCTCGATTGCTTGCTTGCTTGCTGGCCCCGGTTTGCTTTTTTTCCCTCGTTTGTTGATGTGATTGTACTTGCTCATCCGGGGTTTCCATCATTGAGATTAAGGACGGGATGAAGCAGAGGCGCCTCTGCAGTGTGGTCTCGAGAGCTTCATCCTGGACATCGTGCTGTTGGGGCCGTCAGCCTGCACTGATGCGTTGACAGCCAAAAGGACAGGTACCTTGCACCTAGGTCTAGGGGGAAAGCCAGGAAAACCAACTGTGAAAATGGGTCCCCCCCATTTTGACACACACACACACCCAGCATAGTTGTTCAAGACTGTTGTGTTTGCCATTAATTTGTAATACCGTGTTTGTTTGAATAATTTGCTCAGATGCGAGTGATCCTTTTTGCCCGGTTGCCACAGGAATTGCATGTTTGGGGGATGTCAATGGGGAAATCCAAGCATGTGTTCATGCAACACACATGGTGTTGTTGGTTGACCTGGTTGGCCAACCCTGGAAGACAGAGTGTGACTGACCTTAGCAGGATCAGACCTGGCGTTGGCACACATGAGCCAAAGTCAACATGTACGCATCTAGTGTCTATGTGTATGATATGTGACCCTGTAATCCACTGATGTAGGTGCTCTCTAGAAATCACAAGTGTTGAATGAACTGATATGAAAGCGAAGTTGCCACACGCCTATGTCAAATTGAACACGGCACGGTGAGCCATTAATGAGCCTTGGGAGCTGCAACGGACAAAGCACCGGATGTTTGATTGTCGATTGGGTGCTATCGGTTCTGCACGTTGCGTCTCAGCAGTGGTCGTAACAAAGGGACATGCCGGGGATCATACTTCAGCTCAGCGGGACATGGACCGATTGACCAAGCCGCAGGATCATTGATGCTCACGAGAAGGGCGATGTGTCAGACAGCAAGCAAATGCCGGACCTTTTCGCGCCAGAGCTCTTGACGCCGCACTTCATTGAGATCAATCCGTTTGGGTATAACCAATCCAGTGGCTCGTCACTCTTCTCTTGGACGCACGAATACAGCACCCTGTACGGCCTTCAGAATGGAGCGGGATCCGGATCGCGGCTCATTCCTGTGAGGTTCACTCGCTCTTAGGTGTCGCGGCAAGACTTGTTGTGCATGGACTCATGTATCTTGCTGCTAGACACGTGTCGGCGGAGTTTCCAAGTACTCCCTACCGCTTACAAGGCTCTTAAATATTTGCTTAGCCCCAGCCTGTGGTACTGAAACATCTCCCCAACTATACATTGCAGAGCAACAACTGTTGCAGCCCTAGAAGAAACATGGTGGCGAGCCCTTGGGCTTGCGGGGGGTCGTTTTGACTGGTGTGCCGCATGAGAGTGCGCAATGCATCTTATCGATCTCTGCAAGAGATGTCATGTACAGGCTTGATCTGTCTCTGCGCAAGCTGATTTCCCATGAAACATGGCATGTTTAGGTTTGCAGCGCGTGTACAGTGCACAGGTCGGCTGGAAAAGGCAGAGATGTCGGGTGGGAGTCTTCCCTGTGCCATGTACGTACAGTGTTTCTTAAGATGAGGATGAGGGAACATGATCTTCCGAAGCCAGGCCTGTAGAGTCCAGGCTATGATGAATGGAAAGGGCCAGTAGCGGCCGTAAATCACGAGACATTGGGACACCAGCTCTTTTGTCCATACTGATGGAACTAGAGTTTCTTCCTTCTTTGGTAGCCCTTTGGTGTGTCTGACCCAGGAAGGGCCAGATCAATGAACGCAAAAAAATAAACTCCGATAACATAGACCTTCCTACGGGTCATGGCCATTGCCCAAGAAAACCCATGGTTGCGGGCCAAAGCGTGTTCCTCGCATACAAGTGTTCACATAACCCTTCTAAGATTGCAAAGAGTTTGTTTTTGGTTCCAAGATCCTTTCCTGAGTGTGAGCCTTTGGTGTCCTCGATCTGGGCCAAACGTCGTTTCCTCTAGGGTCGCAGTGATAGCCATGAGACTTCCGAGCACGACTGATCAGTCACGTGTCGTCCCAAGTCACAGTTTGAAGTTCTAAGAGTTCATCCCAGTGATGGCCCCATGTTGGGTGTGGCTATCTTTTTTCGTGGCCCGTGTTGGATACTTGTAAAGGGACGCGCATGTTGGATACAAAGCCCATTTGGGACTTTTCCCATGTGGCTGTGGGTCAACGGGCTCCCAAGTGATTCGGAGCATGTTCAAATGGCTGTGGGTCAAAAGCAGGGAACAACATGGAAGTCTGGTAAATGGAACCATGGACTAAAATATGCGGCCCCCTGGTGCTTTAGTTTAGCGGCCCATGCCCATGTCGAGAATGCCCTTCCAGGCCGGCCGGTTTGCTCACTGCGCCTTGGAAGGGGATGGAATTCCAAGCGAAGGGCGGGTATGCCAAGTCTATGGTGTGTGCGTCCCTTTTTGGGGGTCTCCCCCCCCGCCCCAAAACAAGTGGGGTTGCTTTCCTCTCCTAAAAAACCACCAAAGTTGTGTGCCCTCAAAAAAAGACGAGCCACCCCCATGTGTGTGTGTGTGTGCTCATAATCTGCCTGGGGGTTCGAGCTCACCCGTTTGCCTCGAAATGCAGGCCTCTGATTTCATGTTTTCGGGTTGTAGACAAATGCAGATATGCCGTGGTAAGCGGTATGCCAATAATTTTCCTATAGCAGCACAGCATGTTACTTTTTGTCCATCACTTTTTTGTGAATCCGACACGTGGCGGCGCAAAGCCGTCACTGTTTCATTGTCTTTGCCCGAATAGGCGAGACCGACTGCGCAGTGATTCCATGAGATCCGACTTCGATGGAATCAACATCAAGCAAGGGTTGCTCCGAGCCTCCAAAAATAGCCAAAGCCTAAATTGGCGTGGTTTCCTTTCGATTTCCACCAAAGCAAAGCCAGCAATCTTCCTTGAAGTGCTTGTATATGCGTGTGTCTTAGAATAGGGGAACCGCCCAAATAGTGGCTTTCATTTTGGTGTTGCTTTAAACCCACCCCAAGAAAGGCAACCCCCCCCACCCCACCCCATCCCCCCCCGCCACCCCGTCCCACCGTCCCCCCCCCCTCGAAAAAAGAAAACACACCATCCCAGCCACCCGGGGGTTGCCCACGCCGAGATCCGCGATCCGAGGACCAACCGACCTTGCCATCAGACCCAGTGCTGTGCCATGCGCCACGACCGGTGCTTCCAGCCTGGGACCCAGTGCTGTCGTTTTTCGCGCGGCACGCCTCTCACCCCACAGCGAATCGACCGGAGACCTGTTGTTGTCCGTTTTGTGTGTGTGTGTGTGTTTTCCATTGTTTGCATCTGTTGACCCTTCGGTTGACCTTCAACCATTTGTTTTACCTCTGGATCCGTTGGACTGAGTTAGTGAGTTCTTCCCTGATTTATGTTGCCGAAGTGACCCTCCCCTCCTCGTTAAAACAACAAATATCTTTCAGGGGTCTATAGTTGCTATGTTTGTGGGAGTATGTTTAGTTTGTAATCTGGTTGCCGATTGTTTTGGTGAGTAAGTTAGCCTTCCAGAACAAGGGGCAACACACGAGGGCGACGATGTTTATCAAATCCTGGGGGTCATTCCAAAGCGGACTAGCTCTGTATACCCCCGTGGATGCCTGGACTTGCTTGGTCGGACGGAGGCTTGGCTATTCGATTCTTGCCCCTTCGGTTTCGGCTAGTTAGCCAGCATTGCTACCTAGGGCTAAATACAGGCAGTCTAGAGATGATCCTTTCATTCGGGATGGCTTTTGTTGGTTGCACCGAAGCTGGATCCCATGCGTGTTCCATGAAAGACAAAAATCCAAGGAGTAGAAGCGATGATGGATTCGCAGGATATTGGAGCCAAAGCTCCTGTTTCATTTTTGGTATGGACCAGAAGTCCTTAATTACCTTCACTCTGCGGGGGTTATGAAAGTCAGAAGCAATTGTTGTTTTCTCCAACTCCACGCAAACCCGCCACAAGTCGTTGCGTCCATATGTGCCAGGTCTTGATTGTTAGTGTTCGAAGCAAGCAGGATTTGACTTCATCCCCATGGTTTCCTAGCATGGTCAATGTATCTGTGGGTAAAGCCTACATCAACCCTAGCGACGTCACCCGAAGTGGTTCCTTTCTGGGGGGTCCCTGATGATTTGTCGATTGGTGAATTCGAACTTGCTTAGATTTATGCTCACTTTTAGTTTCCGACCATTTGGACAGATGCCCGATTCATGGGGTTTTGTTTCTAGTCCTAGTGTGGGTAGCGGTCAATATTTGGATCCCCAGGTTGTTTGGACCGCCGGAGAATCAACCTGTAAGCTCGACAGCTCGCCATTCAGAGCATCGAACGTGCCCAAGACCATTTGAGCCCTGGCTTCACAGGGCGCTGTACCATTCAACAGCATGGTATCAATTTTGGGTGTGACTCAAAGCTTGAGCATGCCGTTAGCTGCTGTGGAATGTCGTGTTTTTGGGGGGTGCCGTTAACAAAAACAGCATATATTTGTTTGGATCCTTTGGGCTCGCTGAGGCAGTTTGGCGAGCGAAGCTACTGCCGCGCAAGCTGCTCACCCAAGAACGGAGCCTTCGCTGCCGTTCCGCAAGCTTGTTTGGTACCGATGTGTACCAAAGGCACGTGTGAATCAAGTTCGGAGTCCTTCTCGGGGTAAGGCGAACCAAGAGGCCACCCGGTCTCCCGTTCTCCTTTTGGAGAAAAGTGCGATGGCTACTCTATCCAATGGGTTGGGCCAAGTTTACTCCTTGAGATAGTTGCTTCGCATTCATTCAATAGTTTATTTCTCCAGAATCACTGGAACGAAACGCCAGCTGCTGTAAGGTTGAACACACAGCGCCCGATTGACTAACATGATATTGCCTGCCGACCTAGGCCTTTGACTGTGTTTTTGCGTGCTACGCTGGACAGGGGTGTCTTTTCAAGAGGGGAGTCATGATTGCTCAAAGTTGCCAACATTGTGTTCGCAGCACCCAGGCTTTGCCACGGTGAGGTTCATTCTGTGCCTATCACTCATAAAGGTATCAAATGTATAACAATAATGCCTACCCTATTGGTGGATCATCTTAGAGGGGGCAGTCTAGAGGTTGCTTAGTCCTATTGTAGGCAGTCTTGTCTAAGTCAGACTTGCATCATGTCCAGCTAAAGTCGCCGCTGCTGCTGTCTGGTGCGGGGCCCAGCTTGAGGATGGAGTTGCGCACAGCCTTTTGCACACCCGCTGGCGAAGGCGCGGGGCCTTTTTTCGCCCGGGGATTTTTGGGAATGCAGCCAGAGGGCAGCAAGGTCTCACCCTCTGAAGAAGCCACAGCCCAATCTGAGACCTTACAGCCCTCGAATAGCTACTCGAGTCTCCGAGTCTCAGCCAATTGGAGCAGCGGAGAACTCGAGTACTCGATGGATTCTGTCAGGCGTGTTGGCTCGACGGGACTTCCGCTTGGCTTACACCGATTCCCAGTTCGAGGGCTTGTAAGACGGCTTCCCATACCTCACCCCCAAGGGAACAATGGGGTTCACAAACGCTAAGCACTGCATGAAGTATATATATATATAATATGTACTGTAAGTGATGTGGGGTGGCTTGGGGATGGAAACCATGTTGGAGCATTGGGTGGATGATATGCGAATTGATTCAGGTGAGGCAGGGTTGCAGGGTAACTTGGATATGTATGATGTTCTCGGCGAGATAGAACAACTATATAGCCTACGGTTGTCTCGCTGTGTTTCTTGCCGTGATCAATGCGTCGTCTATCATTGCTTTGCTGCTTCCATTTGGTTAATCATATTTTGGTTTTAGAAGGAATTTATCACTACTGGAATTATTTCATTTTTCCCAGGGGACTTAAGCACAGGGTTGGCATATCCTGTTAACCTTTGATTGTAAGTCTGGCGGAGACAGACAGAGTCTGGAGCTCCAAAGCGGCATGTACTGGTTGCACGTCAATGGCCATGAATGCTAATTTCATGAGAGATGCAGGGATTGAGAAATGAAATAGCCGAATATAAACCATCCAACTGGTGGTTTCCTTTTAGGGGACCCCTGGGTTCATTCCTTCATTCCCTGCTGAGCACCAGCAAAATGATTCTTCTGAATCTATAAGACTTGTCCAGGGCATTTTGCCCGGCAAGCTGCGTTGAAACAGACGGTTTTTGAGAGCGGGTTACACGGTTGCCTTCATTTCCCCATAACACATCACCCGTAGCAGAGAGTCAGTTCGACGGGGAAACGAATCCGGGTAAATGAGCTAGACTGTTCTTGGGAGCTCAACGGGGGTACCATCCATTGTGTCATCAATTGCCAAAAAGCCTGCGGCAAAGAAGTCAACTGCACCTGCGCCCAGCCTCGCATCCACACGTTGAGTATGCCAGGATTCGTTCAATGTCCAACCCCCCCCCCCCGCCGCCAACTCACCCTACCAAAGAAACTCAAGATGATGTGGCAACCAAAAGCTGAGGTCCAAATCGCCCAACAGAGACATCTAAGAACGAGCGGCATTGGGATTGGGGGAATAGAAGGGACATCTACCCCCCTTCAGATTAACGTGGAAATCAAAAAAACCACCCATTTGTAGAAACAACTCCTTCTGGGAAATGAACCCTTTTGGGTTCCACATTAATTTGTAGGGGAGTCCAAGGGAAGTACGAAGGACTCCCCATTTCGTCGCAGGCGCGGCAGACGGAGCACTGGCCGGATCTCGTGGCAGTTTGCTCTGCGGGGATGGTACTGGTGGACACCGTCGCTTGGCACGAGAGCGATTGAGCAGTTGAGGACATCTCAAAAGGTGAGGACCGCCATCCACTGTTTTAAATGGGTTTGTATGTTCAGGCCAAAGTTGGGGTTGTTTCAAAGGGACGTCACCTGGAAGCCACCCATTTTGGGCCGCCCAAAATTTGGCCATGAGGTTTAATAGAGAAAACCCTTCAAAATGGATGGCGCGCATTAGAGTCCCCAAGCAGAAACACATACCAACAAATTTGGATCGTTCCTTCCCATTTCAACAAAACCCGACAAGCTTCGACTTGTGCCCAGGATGGTCTTGATGATGTAATTGGTGTCTAATGTCAAGGTCAGCTTTGAGCAAACCCAAGGCGATACTCTTGAGCACCCCGAGAGCCTTGCAATGTGTTCAATCTGGCAGTGGATCCACATGTAAAACTGTCGCAAGCACAACAATTCCGCAGGTGTTGTTGATGGTCAAGACCCCGACACACCATTTTGCGTCAATGACAATGATGTAGTTTTGCTGTGAAGCTACAGTGGACTGCGTGAGGGTCCCAAAACAAGTTTGGCAGGGCCTGCTTTCGGCCAGATGTTTCTGTGTCACGATCTGGGGTGCAAAGGCTGGACAACTCATCCAAGATGAAGCCTGTCTGTGTAACCATGAAAAAGGGCCACGTGAGCCTCAGTTCCCAAGACGTAACACAGGGGACGGACTGACATTGGGGTGTGTTTTTTCAAGGGGGCCCCCCAAAATAGCGGGTTGCCTTTTGTGACAACTTGTGTGTCTTGTTTTGCCCCCCCCCCCAAAAAAAAAAAACACACACACAAAAATCAAGTATTGGTTTTCCTTTCGGTTTCCCTTTAACACCTACCAAAAAGGGGGTACCCTCAAACAAAAAGCAACTTTTGAGCTCGGGTCATTTCTTTTGATGCGCAGTGGAGCGTCGGCGTGCTGCTCGCTGCAGGTAACATGCAGAGGGTGACATGCGGATGATGCACGCATCACAAGCAGGAGATGCGGTGACACAAACAATCATTCCACATATCCATGCATATGTATATGTATGTACACACACATAAGGTAGTTATGATATATACGTTCATGCAGACATCGGTGCTATATCAGGTGACATGCAATGACCTGGGCTGCAAAGTGTGACACTCCGATTTGTCTTTTGGTTTGGATTGAGCTGAGACCTGCTAAGGCCCCCCTCTCTCACAAGTTGCGCAATTCCGCGTGCGTTCCAAGCTTTGCTTGCTTTCAGAACCGCAACTACAGGCAGTGGGCAAACGCGTCCTTTGGTGTCCGAAGTCATTGTGCATTTTCTACAGTAGTTCGGGTCCCTTAGCATACATTTCGCCCAGTTCACATGTTGTTCTGTAGGCAAGTAACGGGGATGACGAAACCAACATGAAAGGAATTGTGCCATCTACTTTTGCCCAACTGCAGCCTTTCAGAAACGCTGTACTTTCCAACCAGAGTCAGGGAACCTGTCGGTTCAAAGCAGGTTGCGATCACTTGCACAGGACAACCATTTGCCTAGCATCCGAGAGAAGACCCATTCGAAATCGATCCCGTTCAGTCACCCAACCAGAGATGCGTTCGCCCAGGCCGCGTTTCGCGTGAAGTACAATTCCACGTGCGAGACATACTGCCGCATGGGTGCGGCTCCAGCTGTGAGCGCCTGTGCAGCAGCTTCAATGTGTTTGGTGCCCCATTAGGGGGTTTGGCTTTCTTTGAGTGTATCCTTTGGGTGGGTGGTTTAAAGGGTAACCAAAGGGAAAACAATTTGTGGGGTTCTTTTGGACACATACGCATATATTGTCAGTTCCCAGCCGTACGAGTACTTAGATTTGTCGCGTTTTGGGATTCATGACATTTAGTGTTTGAGATCAACGTGCCACTTAGATATTCCGGGGACTCGTTGAGTTGATTCTAATGAAGGGCTTCCGATCGCTTGCACAGGCGGACAGTGTAGCATCGAATAGAACCCAATTGTTGGATCCCGCATAGGGTCACCCACACTTCTGCTGGATGCTAACACAGGAAACCAAAAAGACATTTCAGGGACCCACTCAATGCGGTGGCTGCATGGCCCTGTTAGACCCACACAGCGGTATATGTGCGCATATGTGTCGTGTTCCATGTCTTGAATAAGAGCGGTGAACAATGATTCTGAGAACGGGCAGCACAGCCACTTTCCCAGCAAGGTGGTTTTGGACTATGTCGAGCCACTATGGACATTGATTGTCATTCATCCAAATGTTTCTTGATTTGTTCGCAGGACATTGAATATTGTCCATGACTGGTGAGGTGAGAATTGAGGACTCTTGAAATGGCGCTTGTCTTGGCCTTTTTGCAAGTCCCGCAAAACCAGAGGTTCCCCTTGTCACATGACCATGTTCAATCTATAGGCGAAGCATTGCAACATGGCGCAGGAGTTCAAGCAAAGACGGACCCTCGCAGACTCCCTTCTTGAAGCCCGCAGTGTGTGAGTTACAAGTAAACAATTACAAGGGTTGCTTGGGGTACCCCTTTTGGAACCTTTTTTTGAAGGAGACGCCACCAATGGTTGGGGGTCGCCCCTAGCTGGACAGTTGCATATCTGCTTGCCTGATGCTGGGTAATTATTTACTGCAAGGGTGACCAAGCTGACGTCACCAAAGGGGCCCGGGTGGACGTTCATCTCAACGATTCGATGCCAAGCACATTCCCAATTCCTAGGAATTGGGAAGAGGCTAACCCCCAAGACTTGGGGTACTCTTTGGATGTGTTGAGTGTCAACGCCCTGGCCTTCAGGGGCGTCAGGTGCGCGGCCCCGACGAAGATAAAAACAACTGGGCAGCTGTATTGACGCTTGCCTTGGGTCCATCCCTTTAGGCCGGCAACATATCACGCTGTTGCGCAGTTTTAGGATTTGTCTACTTGCTCGCGGCCAGTGCCGTTGTTTCAATAGCTTTTTTCCAGCAGCTGCAGGGACACGTCTTGACGTATGTGTTCTACTTGTTGTTATTTTCCCTTGTTTCCACTACAGGTCACCCTCCGGTCCACTGCAGACTGAGGGGTGCTGGTTTGGACCATCTTTCTTAAAAGGGACCAGGTTTCTTGTGGGTTCCATGTTACAATGTTGGCGGACAGAAGGGTACATAGGTGTCCTTTTGGTTGGTTTGGTTAAACATAGATGGTGTGTCTTTTTGTGGGACCCCCCCAACTGTGTTTCAGTGTCCCAGATGGTTTCTCTTTGAGAAACCAAACACGGGCAGCAAGACCCAGGATGCCAGCACGCTGGCAAGTCGAAGCATTCGTCAGGCTTCCCTCTCTTCGGGCTGGAAGGACCAGGCGCGCAAACCCAAAAAAAAAAAAAAAGAAAAAAAAGCGGCATGGGTTCTCTTGGTGGCTCCCAGCCATCCCCTCAGCTTTTAGCCTTTGAGTGTTTCGTGGGGTTTTCCATTTTGCCCACTCAAAGTTAAACTTTTTAGCCGGGGATCTGAGGGCAGCCCAGTTCTGAGTATGTGGGTGGCGCGTCTTTTTTGGAGTTGGTACCCCTTGTTTGGTGTTTCTAGACGGAAACCACAAGGGGTTTACCAAAGTCATTTGAGGGGTCCGTTTCCTTTTGTGGCCGTTTCAAGCACTAAGAGTTGGTCGCTGAAATTGGGAAAGTGGATCGACAGTTGGTCTCGAACCAGGCGTCTGCTTTAGCCTGTGCATGTGGGTGTGCGTGATCACGCGCGCATCCTGCGTGCACTGGCAACAAGTTCCAAGGGCGACGAGGAACGCGACAGTCACTAAGCGCAGGTGATGAGAGCTCAGGTTGAAATTTTCCGCCTCAAATTGGATGGTGTGATGTAGCCGCTTTTTGCACCAAGGAGATCCTCTCTTTACGAGCAAGCTTCCAAGCGGACACCAAAATGAAGCGGGTGTGGCTTGTGAGGCTGGAGAGTCCCAAGGTGAGCCACAACCAAAACCCAGGTAGATGAAGGTTAGTAAGGGACAATCCCAACCATAAATAGCTGCGGCCGCCTTCTTAAAATTCTTTACATGGTTCTGGGTAGACCATTTTAATTCTGGGTTTTGATTATGACTCAGGTGGGTTTGTTGAAAGGACTTGGGGAACGGCCTGAAACTTGGTGGACAGAAGTCCCAGATGTCGATGTCCGAAGGGTCCATGACAGTCATACTCGTGCGTCATTGGAACATGGGTCCCTGGCGAGGCTACGGGAAGCTGCGCAGCTGTCCTGGAGACAAAGGAGGCAAGGCAGCGGATTCAATCGGCTGTGGGTCAAGAATGAGTACCCAAAATTGGAACCCTGGTAAATGGAACCAAAGACTAAAACCTGCGGTCCAATTCCTGTTTGCTTGATTTTGACCCGTACCCAATTGTCCATGTGGCCTGGGTTCACTCCAAGAGGCCAAGCGCACAAACCTTTGCTCGACCCTCTGAATCACCGAGCCAGGCGTCTGGAGTGTTGAGGGCAGAGTTTGGCTCTGGCCCTCTCAAAAGCTTCGTGATGGCTTGCCTGCTTTGCCTCAACACATGCTACGAAGAGACATGATGTGCTTGGCTGTTGACCATGTTCCAGCTTCGCATGGACCATCTTGCTTCTTTATGTGCAGACTCCCATTGAAGGGTCGACCAAATCTGTGCATGTGGTCGTGCATGCTTTGGAGCATCCGTGCCATGCAAAACCAGCTACTTAGTGTTGATGTTTAGTGTCAACACATCTTGGGACCTCACAGATGCGCCTGTGTGAAGTTGTCTCCGAGAAGACTTGGGTGTAAAACTGCTGTGTTTGGCCCACCACGTAGCACACATCTGAAGAGATCGTCAAAGAGAGAACAACTTGTCCCCTTCGAGCGGGATGAACCCATTCCAGCCACGTCAAGGACACGATTTCTGGGTGGTGTTACTGCGTCCTAGATCAAGCAGAGCATGACCCCAGCACCGGTCAATGCAGCTATCTCAACCATACAGTTGTAGGGTTTCCGTACATGCGAAATGTTGCTGGCGGGCATTCCGAGCATGTCTCGTGGCATGCGGCGGTGGCATGCGAGAGAGACCGATTCAACAGCTTCGCCAGTACCAGGCAGTTGGTTCCGGACGCCTTCTTGAGGAGGTTGCGCCAAACCAGCTGCCAAAGATTCAGAAACAAGCATCCCACAAACCGCACCCATCAAGCAAACACCAACCATCAATTTTGGAGCCGGCTGTGTAAGAATTCTCCAAAACTAACTCCACTCGGATGCCCAGGAAAGTACCTGGGCTCGATTTGCGAGTGCAGCCTTCCAGACCGCCCCTTGGAATCAGATTCCGGCTGGGTCCCGAACGTCGAGTTCGGCTCCGGCTGTTTGCTGGGGCCCGAACTTGCGGTCCTTGTGCTAGACTCCCTCACGAATTCCAGGGATTGAAACAATTGGAATGGGATTGGGGGCTTTAAAGCCAACAGTTGCAGGCTGTTGCATTGGGAAAGCAAGCTGGGCTGCACCTAAGAAGCCATGGAACCAATAGGAAACCATCGTTTGGTGATATTTACGGGGGAAGGATCAGAAATCTGGGTTTCTTAGGTGATGCGATTTGGTTTCGTCCATCCAGTAGCTGGGCTCATGCTGAGAAGATTTATCAGGACACATATATGGCCATGGGTCACAAGCGTCATAACCTATGCCTCCATTTTGGGGCGGATGAACACCCATCCACCTATTTTGATGCTCACCAGGGGTACAGGGTGTTGACCCACAGCCGTATAGAGTGTTTTTTTCTCCCCGGGGTTCAAAGGGGATTCCAAAAGGAACGCTGAAGCCATCCCGAAAGAAAAGCCAAGACTTGTCACATCTTGCGGAATCATGATCACTCTGAGCGGATAAGGTGTCACTGCTTACGGAAATGCAAATGTCACTGCTTACGGAAATGAAAATGTCACTACTTACGGAAATGAAGCCACTACACGCGGAAAAGTATAGGGGTAAGAAGCTCCTTTCTAAGGCTCCTTTCTAAGGCTCCTTTGTAAGGCTCCTTTCTAAGGCTCCTTTCTAAGGCTCCTTTCTAAGGCTCCTTTCTAAGGCTCCTTTCTAAGGCTCCTTTCTAAGGCTCCTTTCTAAGGCTCCTTTCTAAGGCTCCTTTCTAAGGCTCCTTTCTAAGGCTCCTTTCTAAGGCTCTTTCTAAGGCTCCTTTCTAAGGCTCCTTTCTAAGGCTCCTTTCTAAGGCTCCTTTCTAAGGCTCCTTTCTAAGGCTCCTTTCGAAGGATCCTTTCTAAGGCTCCTTTCTGAGGTTCCTTTCTAAGGTCCTTTCTAAGGGCTCCTTCTAAGGCTCCCCTTTCTAAGGGCTC